AAGTAAAATAATTCCTAAAAATGAACATTTTTTTTTTATTTTCGTAGGTTTTCATGTAGTATTCATGATGTAAAACTTGATCTCACGTAGCGGATGTGATAATTGCGCATGACGCATACGATGTACTTTCGGAGCCCAAAAAAGTCTTACTCGATCTCTCGTGAGGTTCGAACGTCGGTCTATGTGTATGTCAGATGTAGCAGTTAACATCGTTGTCGATTCCCTTCTCTCTTGAGCATTGGAGCGATGCGTCGTCTACGCGCTCCACGTTGGGCCTGAAGCCGCGATAGATTACATCAAAATGGCCACCAAAACTGATTGCACCACTTTTTAGTCGGTCAATCGCAGATGAAAAACCCGTCAGAATCAAAATCCTAGCTGATCCTGTTCAAAAGTTATACGTATTTTTCACTTTTTATCCGAAAATCTTTATTTATTTTCTTGTGACCAAGATTAAAAGTATTATAATCTCATTATTACAACGATGATACGGTTGTTTTTTACATTCTGATGTTTTGTAAAGTTCGATAAATTCGAAAATTTTGGTCAGTCGAAATCATGAAGATTTTGAGAATCTGTTTTATATAAATTGATTTTCATCGTACACACAAAAAAATTTTTTTGTAAACATAGTTTTTTTATGTCATCTGCAAAGCTGTGTACATGATATGAATAAAATTAATCGAAATATAAAAAATTATTATTTCTCTACAGTAACACGATTGCTAGAGAAATGCAGGTAGGATAATTTTAATAAAATCAATTTGAAAGTCTTGTGAAAACCTTCAAATCCATCGTCTCTGATATTTCCTACAAGTCCTCCTATTTAATCAGCAATAGAAATATCAAATAAAATAAAAACCAATTTTTTCGATTCGTTAATTGTTAATAAAAATGTATGAATAAATTAACGAATAAGCCCAATAACAATTTATATAGCCTTTGAGTACTCAAAGGGCCTTTCCACTGGTTATTTAAAAACCTTGATTTGACCTTTTTTGACTGAGCTACAACACTTTAAGTTTAGACATTTTTTGCTCGGGTATGAAAAAAGTTGGAAAGATTTGACGACATTTTGAAATGTACTTACATGAGGAAATTTTTACTTCTTTATGCGCGTAGGCATGTTTTTCTTAACGCACTCACTATCGAACATTTTAAATGTACAATTAATATCGTTGATTTATTAATAATAATAAGATTTTAATACTCTTATTCTTGGTCGCAATGAAATAAATAAAGATTTTCGGATAAAAAGTGAAAAATACGTATAACTTTTGAACAGGATCAGCTAGGATTTTAATTCGAACGGGTTTTTCATCTGTGATCGATGCCGTGGACAATGCGGGCCGGAAACCGCTTCAATGGGCCACGTGGCGAGACACTCGCCGACGATGGTCGATTTGCTCCTGGATCTCGCCAGCTTCGTTTTCCCGACCGAGAGCTATATAATTTGACGGGAATTTTCGAAGCATATCGTATGGACGCGTGGAGGAAAAATTCATCATGGCGTGTCCGGGGTCGAGCGTCCGAAGGCAAGGGGAGATACGAGCTGAATCTAAGCAACGCCCTGACGATCATGAAGGTGTTCCCCGAGTGGAATTTGTTCGAGAAATCAGCGGTCGTTGAAGAACGAACTCGGCATCTGCGCGAGAAACTGTCGGGAAGATTTTTCCAGCAATGGGCCGTGGAATCTTTCTCCGAACTGATACGCCATCGCCTGCCAATCGTGTGAGCTGTGATATCATCATCGATGGATTAATGAACCAAGATTTGTTGAATATTTGCTTGGCGGCTTGTTGAAACCAAAGCTCGCGATGACTCTTGCATTTCGTGTAACCGCATTACGATGAGAATAACGAAAAATTGTATACACGTTGGTAAAAAATTGCAGCAAGGCTAATATGCGTATCTGTATACGTACGGATGATTGAAAAAAAATCATTGATATAAACTTGAGCTTCGATTACATAAGTTGCTATTGAAATATAAAATTAATAAAAACAATCGGACCGATGAGTTTTACAAAAAAAAATATGTAAATACGAAATAACTGCTTGTGATATTTCTTAATTTATAATGTTATTTTTTCATAAAACAAGCCTTATTATTTAATGGCAATCGAGACGCTTTTAATCAATAGATGGAATAACTCGATAAATAATGCACTGATAAAATAGGCCTATTTTTCGTTGCAAAAAGCTACATGTCTTATAAGTTTTATTATCTTGTAGCTTTGCTTATTGCAAACTCATATGCAATCGAAAAAATAGCCGTATTTTGTTTTTTTCTTTAACTATCGCATAAGGAAATGTACTCATACCAAAGTTATCTAGTCATCTCAAAGAATATCTCCCATTTTCGTTTAAACGAATTGCTTATTAGAAAAAATAAATTATTTATCACTGGTTTGGCTAGGGTACTTTTGCTGCGCATGTCCAATGCACCGAATTTAGTGAGCGATGCTCAGCGTCGACTTCCTGCCTAACTTTCTCTTTCATCTTGGGAAGGTATCAAGCTTCAATATCTAATAGCATCTAAGCAGTTCAACTCCACATGTTGCGTCGTTCAAGTCGTTTTACGAATACACAACCTATAAAAAAGGTCTCATCGACACGTGTTTTTAAATTAGTGAAAAAAAATTGAAATTTGTAATTTTTAGTGGTTTTTTTGGCGTTCGTGAGTGCGTATAAACATGTCCAACAACGAATCCAGAGTAAGCTATAATAATAGAAAATATCTAGAAGTGTACGGGTACTTGTCGAAAAATGTCACGTGGGAGATTCAAGAGGATCGACGTGAATTTCTTTATCAACTCGATGCCGTCATCAAAAATTGGAAAGGCCAACTTCCAAATCTTCTAGACTTCTTCCGGAAAGAAGTGATTTATTGGCTTTTAATGGAATCCACCACAGACGCAGATGAAGACGCAGATGAAGACGAAGATGAAGACGCCAGCGAGACACCAGGGGAACGATTCATCGATTTTGTGGCTCGCAGCGGCTTCAAAGATGCGCCCGAGATGGATAAAGACGGAAAGCCTCTGTTGCGTCGCACCACATTAGTCCATCGTGCGTTTCGAAATAATCGCAGTTACTACTTAGTCTCTGATCTCTTTAAAATATACGACAAATTTAACGTAAATTACATGGACGAAGATGGATTAACACATCTTCACGTGGCTTGCTGGTATGGCCTCGACACCATCGTCGAAAAATTCCTTGAACTCGGGCAAGATCCCAACGGCTTTTCTCAAGACATGGGCGCGAGATATCCTGACCCGCCGCTATACCTGGCTCTATCCAGAGACCACGAGACGGTAGCCGAATTGCTGCTGAGAAGAGGCGCCGATTTGCCTAGAGCCAATGTGGACGGATATACTTCTGTGCACATGCTTGGCCCGATCAATCACAATGATGCCTTCCTTGAGACATTTTTCGAGATTGTCGAGGAGAAACATCTGACGTTGCAGGTCAACGCCATAAACTGTAATGGCTTTGTACCGTTAAATTATAGTCTGGTGTTCAGGAACAAGAAACTGATGGAATTGCTGTTGAGACACGGCGCGAACCCAAATTTGCGCAACGAAAAAGGAACTGCTCCATTGCACCTCATTTGCCTGCTATGCTGCCACTTGGACATGGGTGAGTTATTAGCGACATTTTTCGCCATCAACGACGAACTCGGTAACACGATCCAGGTCAACGCTCAGAATAAAGACGGTGAAACACCATTGCAGTATGTCTTGGCTATGCTGAGTGACGAAAACAACGATCACAACTATCAGGTTGACACACCATCGCTCTTGGTTCAGCAGAATTGCAAAAAAAATGCAGTCGAACTGTTGCTGAGAAGGGGTGCTGACCCCAATGTGGTCGACAAGAAAGGATTTACCCCTCTGCACTATGCAATATTTAATGGCGACATAAACTTGGTAGAAATTTTGCTAAGAAGAGGCGCTCGAGCAAATTTAGTCAACGAAAGAGGGGAGACTTGTTTGCATATTATTTGCAGTAGTGACGACGACGACGAAAACATGGCAAAGATGTTATTTCAGATCTGCGACGTAAAACATCAGACGGTTCAGGTAGACGCTCAGGACAATGAGGGTTGGACACCATTACTCGTGGCAATATACCAAGGAAACATCAATTTGGTAGAATGTTTGCTAAGAAGAGGCGCTCGCCCGAACTTAGCTGATAATAAGAAAATTACTCCTTTGCACGCAATATGCAAGAGAAAAAACGGCGACGATGGCTTGCTGAAGAGATTTTTCGAGATCAACGACGAATTAAATCAGCTGGTGGAGGTCGACGCCAAGAACGAGGAGGGCTCGACGCCGCTACACTTGGCTCTATCCCATGCATGCAAAAAAATGAACCAATTGCTGTTGCAAAGACACGCCGATCCAAACTTGGCCAACGCAGAGGGTCATACTCCTCTGCATGTTATATGTCAGAGAGAAGACGACGATGTTGACTTGGTGAAGATGTTATTCGAGATGAGTGACAAATTGAATAAGCCGATCCAGATCGACGCCCGGGACAAATTCGGCTGCGCACCATTGCACTTGGCTTTGAATGGCGGCCACGAACAAATAGCCGAATGGCTGCTGAGAAGAGGAGCTGATATAAATTTAGCCAACGTGAAAGGATCGACACCGTTGCACATGATTAGCGCGGGAAAAATGGACTACGCTGACTTTTTGCGGACGTTTTTCGAGATCAGCGACGAGCAAAGGCGGCCGGTGAAGGTCGACGCACGCGACAACGAAGGCAAAACGCCGCTTCACCATGCTATAAGTCACCGACACAAGAAGCTGTTTGAATTACTGCTGAGAAGAGACGTCGATCCGAATGTGGCCGATAACGATGGTTCGACAGCTCTGCACACGATTTGCATGGCCGACGACGACAACGGCTGGGCGACGATGTTGTTTGAAATCAGCGAGGAAAGGAATCGACAGGTGCAGATCGATGCTCGGGGCTTGTACAACTTAACACCACTACACCTTGCACTGGTAAAAAAAGAGCTCAGGGAGGTGGCAGAATTGCTTCTGAGAAAGGGCGCCGCTACGAATTTAGTCGATTCGGAGGGCTCGACTCCTCTGCACACGGTTTGCAAGTACGCCGATGACGATGACCGCGTGAGGATGTTGATCGAGATCAGCAACGAAGAAAATAAGCCGGTCGAGGTCGACGCCCGGAATAAGTTGGGCCGGACGCCGCTACACCGGGCCCTGGCCAAAGGAAACGGTCAGGGGGTCAGGTATCTGCTGAAATTAGGCGCCGACCCCAACTTGGCAGACAAGAATGGATTCTCGCCGTTGCATGTCATCATCAAGCATCGTTACGACGACGATAAATTGTTGAAGCTGTTCTTCGACGCCTGCAAAGAGGTCGATCGGCCGGTGCAGGTCGATGTCCAAGACAAGAACGGCCGGACGCCTTTGCAATGGGCCGTAGCGAATCTGTACCTGAACGTGGTCGATGTACTTCTGGATCAAGGCGCCGATCTGTCCAGCTTCGTTTTTCCCAGCAAGAGCTTTTTCGTCGAGAGATTCGGATCGATACGTGAGAAGGACGAACGTGAACGGCTTGGGTTCAAATTAGCATTAGCGTCTAAAATTGTTGACGTAGTAGAGCGTCTCGAGGAAAGAGGATATGAATTTAATCGTAGCGAAGCCCTGGATATCATGAGTTTGTTCGCCGAGTACGGATTGTTTGAAAAGTCAGTGGACCTTGACGAATATTGTTACGACGACGAAGAATTTGTGAGCAAATCGAAAGAGATAATGGTGATTCCTAGTCTGTCGCTTCACGACCTTATCCGATTGAGCCCGAAAGAGGCGGCAAAACAACTAAAACATGAGAACTATGTCGAGTTAGCGCGCTCGAACAAATTGTCGGATCTTCCCGAAGGCCACAGGGAGGTTTGTGCTCGGCATCTGTGCGAAAAACTGTCAAGAGGATTTTTCTGGCCTTGGGCACTGGATGCGTTCTATGAACTGCAACGCTACCAGCTACCGGTCATATGCTGTGAAATGATCATTGAAAACCTAAAGAACGAGGATTTATGTAATATTTGCTTGGCATCCATACTAGCACCGGCGAAAGCTCGTGATTTCTCGTTAGTTTCGTTGTCATAACTATGTAGATAACAAACAATTATAAACTGTATTAAAAAATGGTAACAAATTACTGGAATTCGAAACCTTATAATAACACCGATTCATAATAATTTAATATATAGAAACAATAACAGTAATTTAGCTCGTACGGGTCTCCAAAATCTTTTTGTTAGACAGTGAATATTACAACTATCCATGTAAATACAAAAAAATTGTAATAATATTCATAACTTTTCTCAAATGTTCATGTAATTTTGTAAATTTTCAATATCAATAAAATGTGTCATAAACCAATTCACTCCAGACTTATATATGGCCGATTTTCTGTCAAATCAACAGGTCAACATTTTTTTTTCTATATCTAATCTGATAAACACATTGTTTGGGATGTCAGGTTCGCATAAAAAATTTATAGAGCGATTGGGGCCTTCTATCCCTCTTTTTCAGAATTCCAAAGTTAGCCTTTTTCGCATTTTTCCGTAATTGATCTAAGATCGCAAATAAACGTATTCTTAAATTCACTTACGTCGCAGTCTTATATATATTTTCTTTAGTTTGCAACTCGTGACATTGATTTGAGAGCCAATGGTTTAAAAAAGGATTAAAATATTACATTTATCGAGGTGATCAGGAGAAAATTTATTGTGTTTCATCTATTTACTTCGTTTAGTTTTACAATGGTTATTTTTTGTTTGAGTTAAACGGTAAACAACATTAAAGCTTTAATAAATTTTATCATTTTATATAGAATTTCAAAAAAAGAGACATAGTGATAAAAAAAAGATAAATAATTGCACTATTTTCACCTGAGTTACTTATTAATACGAATATTCTAAATTTTACGCTGACTTAAAATTTAACTCATACAAATTTTCACGGGATTTCTGATATGATTGATTGTCAGCGACCATTGACTAAATGTTCATTTCGAATTTTGATTTTTAATTTATAGAATAAATGCAATAATTAATATTAACAACTTAATAGTACGTAAGATATATTTTTTTAATAATTGGCTGAACGAATTGAACATCTTCAACAGAAATACATTATTCAAAATCAGATATCAAGTTTCAATTCTACATAAAAAATTGATTTAAATTTGATCGAAATAAGGGCCTAACTGATCGAAAATAGGGGCGTATACCTTGGTGTAAAGTTCACACGTGGCTCAAACCAGTTTAAACATGCTTTTTAAATCAACAATTAAACTTGTAAATGTTCAAGCGTCTACCTAGCAGGTGCCAACTATACCTATCAATGCACGTTTTATTACTTGTATTCACAATGTTGAATTTTTTTATGTTTTTATTAGAATGATGAATGAGTAAAAATCATTTATCCAACACTTTTTATCAAATACTTATCACAAATATAGTATGAAAAAAGTGATGAAAAAAGTGCTATCACTTATTTCATAACAACAATTTTGACAGCTTCAAATAGCGAAAAATATATCAAAATAAAAACTTTTATTAATATTTTTATGAAAAGGTACTTTAATGAAATAAGTGGCAATTTCAATCACAGGTATTTGTTTTACTTAAGCTAAACCAAAGATTGTCTTTCATATGGAGAGTTTTTTAGAACTGGACACATACTTACTAATAAAAAGACATTTTTTTCAATATTTTATGTCTATGAAATCTACATTTTTTGACGATTTAAAGATCATACAAAAATTTCTTCAAATATTCAATTGTTGGTCTTCCAAATATTCTTTGATTCATACAATTATTTTGACTTTGACACTTGTAGATTTACAGACAAAGGAAGTTGCCACCTTGTGATAGAAGCTTGCATTAATTATCATTGATTTTTCATCATCATTTACATTTTTTTAACTAATTCAAAATATTTATACATGGGTCAAAATAATAATTTTTTATTGAATCGGAAAAGTTGAAAAAATGCGTCCATACGGAAGAGTAGATGGTGCAAACGACCATGGGGTCTAGAATCTCGACTTTGGCCCTTTTTTGATCTATTAAAAAATTATTATTTTGATACTTATTTCAAGCTCCTCAGTGTCCTTTATGTTCTGCACAATATAGTCCTAAAAAGCATTAATACCATAAACGATCATCGTAAAAAATTAGTTTTTTTATTCAAACACGTCAAGTGTAAAGCAATTGTGTTGTTAATAAAAGATAACACGTAATTAGAATGAATTTTATATTCATTTTTTAAACATATAGTGTATTTAATTTTTTTCGTACCATAGAACTACAAGTTTTGTTTATTTTAATCATCAGAAAAACAGATTATGTTACCAGTCGAAGAATTTTTCTTGCTCGATATCAGAGTCAAAGTAAATGAGCTCATCGCACGAGAAAATCGCATATTACAGTCGTTAATGCGCATATATCCTTCATATCTAAATAATGATTAATGAGTACAGTGAATCTTGAAGATTTCACAATTAGAAGTCTACAAAACATTCGAGTGGAATTGAAACATGAAAGGGTGTGTATCTGTTACTTTTCACATAATTTTGAAACTGATTGCGCTTTACCAAGAATCATATTAGTTATTTCATGGACGTCCGACAGTCCGTTTATATGATTTTTGATAAAATCGACTGCCTCTTTTTTCAAATGATTGGCGCTATATGTATCAGAAATTTTAAGCATTTCTAAAGAATTTTCGGTAGATAACGTAGAGCTCAATATTTTTTCGCATGCATTTTTTAAAAGTTCAAGTTGATACTTTTCAGCTGTCGTCAAAAGTTCAATAGATAAAGTAATTTCATTATTTTTAATCCTACCCGTGTAGATGTATCGTAAAAACTCAACTGCAGTTTCGAAACTAACATCGATCATATCAACCGATTGACTTTTGTTTTCCAGCATATCATGGCTGAACATGGCTTTGAATACTGGGCTTGCAGCGGCGAGTACGACCCTATGTGCCGGAATTTCCTTGCCCCCTGCAGTTCTTAGCTTAACGTCACTCAAACTTTCATCTAGAAATATCCATTCGAAGTTTAGTTTTGGTACTTCATTCGTTTTGGCAAATTCATAGTTTAGTAAATTCTTTTGTCCTTCCAAGGGAACTGATATTTTGCAGCGAACATGTACACAATCCTTGCATGAATACATCTTCTCGATCTCTTTTCTGAACATGTTGAAAATCAGTGTTTCACTACAATTCGCAGAAAATTTACAATAATCTGCGCGAGTATTAATAATTTCGCCATCCATTATTATTGCTATGTTATATTTACACATTAATGATGAGTTTTTGTTACGGTAGCATAGAAATAAACGCCAACCATCACTATAATCTGAATTCGAACTATCGAAAGAACGACCTCTGAGGCATTCCAATTTAAACTTTTGTCCAGCAATACTAAACTCTTCTGATCCTGTTGAATTAGTTTCCAACACCGTGTAGTTGTATTTTGATAATACCCACGTAAAAATTTGGTATTTTTCACTTTTTTTCAAGGAGCCGAAAACTGCCATGTTACACTTAAAAGATTAAATTATGTTTTAAATAGTTTGGGACTTTTATAAATTGCAAACAAAATTTATCAAGAGATACACGATGTATCACCAACGATCCGCTTACTGATCACGACCGATCATAATACAATTCAAGACTTGTATTGTTTGTTTTTTATCGCTCTATATTGTTATCGGGCAAATAATTGATTATCTGCGCGAAAGTAGGAATTCACAAACCTCAAGTAGTGTTGTTGTAACATTGCTTAGTGGATAACTCGAGGATTAGCTTGTCGCTTTAATGAAATTATTCATATCTTTCGACGGCTTTACTTCGCCGCCATCATGATTTTTTTTCATTAATATTTAAAAAAATTAATGAGAAATTTTTGTGACTTCTTGGACCACGACGTCATGGTGCCGGGGGCGGCAAATTTTAGAATCATATAAAATAGTACATTTTGCACCTAGGGAGTGAAAAACTGGAAAGTCTCAGAGCACGTGTAATTTATCTGCCAAGCTTTCTTTTCTTTCTTTTTTCTTGCCCAGGGCAGTAATATACAATTTATATTAATGTTATTGATACTCGCCCTCGACATTAGCATCACGAGCGAAGCGAGCGAAAAATTGGAAGCTTAATTACAGAGTCGTATTCTAAAATTTAGTATGACTCGCTTCGCTCACGATGCAAAAAGTGAAGGAGATCAGAACGGCAAATCAAGACCTCGACAAGATGCAAGTCGTAATGCGCATTAAAATCTTGGATTTATTTTTTTATTTTGAATTTATTTGGATAATTTTATGGAAACTTTTGCGCGGGGATGGAAAATATACTATTTCTCACACGGATTGTTCAGTTGAGAAAAAAAAAGAGGAAAAAGGCAAGATAAAGAAACTCGCGTCGAAATTGTGGGAGAGAGAGAGAGAGAGAGAGAGAGTCACCGTGCAATAGTACCATTTTCGGTGTGATCGTAAATCTTTCGCAAGTTGAGGCAAGCTCGATCGCACCTACTTCGAAGGTTTTTGGGTGCATGCATATATTGTTTTGTATTACCATAAGATGATTGCGTACGACAAGTTAGCGCCGAAGAGTGGGTCAAACGCTAGAAAGTTCGTGGTGCATTTTATAAATATATTTATACGCGAATGGAACCCTGACACGCGCGGATTGTACGAAAAACGCACCTTTTGTATGCTCGAAGCTTGTGCTTGACTTTTTATTCCGTAAAGAAGAAGATAATAGCGAGCGTCTAATAAAAATTGTATCATCTATAGCAATGGACATGCGAAGGTAGTACAAATAAAAAATATTTCTCACTGATGTTTTTACTTGCGTCGATTAAAACGATAACATTGTGACATTACCGATCGAAGTCACAATGATAGCCGAACAAACGGATGAAAATATAAATCATCATTTTTATTGGACTAGGTGGTTTCTTCGAATGGGTGGTATGTGGCCCTATCAAAAAAGAAAGGTTAAAATTCTTATCAGAATACACTACCTCTTCAATTCGTACCATTTCGCTTTGTGCGTGGTGAGGCTGAAAAATTTTAACTCAAACTCGGAAGAGACATAAAATTAAGAGTTTTCATTATATCGGTAGGCTTACGGAATTTATAAAAGATTGCATGACGGAACGATGGATATCCAGTACGGCGTTGCGAGCAGCTGCGAATTGTCCTTTGCCATTACGGCGTCTACGTTGTATATTTTCTTTATATTATCCGAATACAAGGTTTGATTCGTATCGAATTTTTCGCTCTTCATTGCGTTCTGATTAACTTGCGTTTTTTCAGATAAAGGCTATCTTAGAGAGCAATACAGTTTATTACTCAAAATTTCAAGACAAAGATGAGAGAAAAATGTTCGACGACAAGTCCATTGAATTTTATAATTTGGCTCTATATTTCGCAACTTTTATGATAATTATTTGTACCATTTATTCACTTTTACCGGTTGCGTTGCCTTTCCTTGTAAATACATTGATGCCTGCCAAGTATAACCTTACAAGATTTCATGGTTCCTCTGCAGTTTACATGATCGATCACGAAAAATATTTTTACGTTATTTTTTTTTACGATGCAATCTTAATTGCGAGTCTAGTGATTTTCACGAACGCAATGACTACAGGCTTTCTTAGTTTAATATCTTTTAGTGGAGCTCAGTTTTATCTGATAGGGTAAGTGTTCTTTTGAAGTCAAAATTTGTTATTTGTTTACATTGAGAAACTACTGACTTTTTATTTCATTTAGCCATAAGTTATACAAATTAAACAAATTTATTCAAGAAAAATACTTTGATCTCAATGAAAATGCTAAAAATTACATTCACAACGAGATTTACAGAGAACATTGTAATTATGTCGAATCCCTCAGGTTGACTATTTGAAAATGCAGATTGTTTAGATGGTAATAATTAAATAAAACATGACTTTTAAATTGTTTAGAACACTCCAAGATATAAATGAAATGGGCGAAAAACTTTTATTTGTGGCGTCCATTCTATGTGTTGCAGCTTTAAGTTTTTCAGGATCAATGGTAAAAAAAAGCTTCAATATTTATTTTCGATACATGTTTACATGAGTTATTTTTTATTACTTAGATGGTTTTCACGTCAAAAAAGAATCCTATTGCATCTTTACAAATGCTAGTAATATTTAGTTTCTTGACTACAATTTCATTTGTAATAAATTGTGTGGGACAGCTGGTTTTGGACTACAGTGAAAAAATTCATTACTACTGGTAAATTGAAGATCGATCTAGAAAAAAATGTCATCGATCATGTGCGACTAATTAAACTATATTTAATCAACAGTTACAGTTGTGGGTGGTATGGTTTACCAATAAAAACAAGAATTTATATTACTTTGATGTTAATTAGATCGAGAAAAACTGCCGGATTGAAAGCGGGCCCTTTTACAATTTTGCAACTGAATTTCGAAAATTTTGGCCTGGTATAAAGATAAATGATATGTTGTAAGTACTGGAATCCGAAGGAACTAAACTTGATTTTTCATTTCAGGTTATGAAAAGTGTTATATCATACATAACAATTATGCTGTCGATTATTTAACTTTCATTACAACTTGTTATAATTTTTTCTCGTCTATTACAAATGTAATAACAATGTACGTGTATGTAATGTATAAGTGTAAATACGATCAAAGTAGATGCACGCTATTAAAATATTTAAAATAAATTCATATAAAAAATGCAAAATCGATAAACTTTTGTTCGATGATTATGATTTCGTAATAAATGTATCGGGGGTATGAAAATTATTCCTTTATAACAATGGACATGCGTAAGTACGAATAAATAGTCAGTCTTAAGGGTAGTCGGCTTGTGACGATTAAAACAACCACGTTTTGATCGAAAACGCAATGGTAGCCGACGTAACAGATACAAATATAAAAATTTATTATTATTGGGCTAGATGGTTTCTTTCTTTTGGATGGTATGTGGCCGTATGAAAAAAAAATCAGTTAAAATCATGACCAGAATACACTACCTCTTCCATACATCGTACTTTGGTTTATGCGTAGTGAGGCTTGGAAATTTCAGTTTCGACTCGAAAGAGTCATAATGATAAATTGAGATTTTTTATTTTATCGACAGTCGCGCGGAATCTACAAAAGAATAAATGAAGGAACGATGGATATCGAGTACGGTGTAGCAAGCACCTGTGAATTGTCCATTGCTATTACAATTTTCATAATTTATATCTTATTTATATTATCTGAACACAAAGTTTGATACGCTTCAAAGCTTTTACTTCTCAGTGCATTTCGATTGATTTAAAACTTGTGAATTTTCAGTTAAAGAACATATTGGACGACTCTGCAATTTATTATTCTAAAATTGAAAGCGAAGACGATAAAGAATTGTTTAAGGAAAAATCTGTTATCTTGTATCATTTTTCTTTATATTTCACAGCTTTTATTATAGTTTTATGTTTCACTTATTCAATATTTAAAAAGAGAAGTAGTTCAACTTTATTCAAGAAACCCACAAATTCAGTTCGATGTTCACAATGAAGCCAAATAAAATGTACAGCATTAAAAACAAAATCAATAGGCTTTTATTTGCTTTCGTATGTACACAATAAGGTAGCATCAAATTATGAGAAGTAAATTATAAATGAATACAATTTGTAACGTTGAAACATATACAAGCGGGGTCAGTTCAAAACGATCTTTAAGTTCACGAGAATATTTTTGACTAATTTGAAATGTTAGCCAAAATCACTAATGACAGTGTCAGAAATCATTGTTACTGGACTGTATGTGCTCTTGAATTTAGTGGTTTGTGGCCGTATCAAAAAAAATTAGTTAAAATAGTACTCAGAACATTTTACATTTGCTATGCGACGTATTTTGGCATATGTGTGGTAAGAAATTCAACATTAATTTTTATTGAAAATTCAGTAAAATTAATTGTCATATTCTTGCCTAAAACAAGTTGTACGGTAACTATACAAGGATGCAGGAAGGAACGATGTCCATTGAGTATGAAATTAAGAGCGGGTGCGAACTGTTATTCGCGATTGCAAGTATAACGTTATACATTTTATACATCAGATCCGAACATCATGTAATAAACGAAAAAACCCATCACCTGAGATAGTTTATGCCTTGCTTACATTAATTTTCAGTTTCAACGGCTTATTGAAGATT